AAGTTCTCATTTCTTATTTTGGAAACAGTCTATGGCTAGGTGGGCAGAACCATAGCAATGTAATAATTGGACGACGCCTTTTAGAGTCACATGAGGCCTGATACACATAAATGCTTAGATGGTGTCTAAGAGATAATGATTATAGATGAAATCCTCTATTGAGAGTTCCCATGAGTTTCTACTTAAAAAAAGAGAATTTGTCCTTTGTAATTTATAAAAGATCCTGAATAAATGAAATACAGATTACTAGTATTCCAGCTTTTTAAAAAGCTACCCTGTAGTAGTGTAACTTGTAATGTATATAAAAATCACCTGATTGTTGGGCAACAGTCACTTGTATTTACTGTTTAAAATTTGCAGAGATTCAAACAGGAATATTGCAAATGCCTTACTAAGATAAGAATGTGTCCAGTTTATTTGTCTGAGATATGTCACTCTCTATGCAGTTTCTCTCCAATAGGGTGAATTTTTTTTTTTTTTTTTTTTTTTGGTACAGGGGATTAAACCCAGGGGTGCTTACCCACTGAGTCACATCCCCAGTCCTTTTTATTTATTTATAATTTCTGAGACTGGACTTGAACTTGAGATCCTTCTGCCTCAGTCTCCCAAACTGCTGAGATTATAGAAGTGCACCACCATACCTAGCTAATACAGTGAATTTTATTTAAATAACAGAAAGTTATTTAATAACAGTTAGCATTTCTTAGCCTTTTTAGCCAGAAATCACATTCCTTAAAGGGAGAGTGTGTATTGCATTACATCTCTCAGAGTTCCTCAGATCTGTCATGCCCTATACATTACATTGGTTTAAATGTTATTTTATACTAGTAAATTTTTTAAAAAATATTTTATTTATTTTTTAGTTTTCGGCGGACACAACATCTTTGTTTGTATGTGGTGCTGAGAATTGAACCCGGGCCGTACGCATGCCAGGCGAGCGCGCGCTACCGCTTGAGCCACATACCCAGCCCCATAAAAAATTTTTTACTAGTTGATTAAGAGTAGTAGATACTTAATCAATGCTTATTGAACCAAATTTTTGTACCTATTTTTTTTTTTTTTTTTTGAGACATTAGCACTTTTTCCCCCAGTGATTGTAGATGTAGCTAAAAGAAAAATCAATTACCTACTTAACATCCTTCATTAACTGTCTAGGATAACAGTGCAGATCATTCCCTTGGCACACAGGGCCTCCCTTGTTTGACTTTGATCGGCTGGAGCTTGGCTCTCTAGGCTTTTGGCTGTCCACATATCTTTGTCCTGGTTGGCTGATTACCCTTTCTCAACTTTGTCAGTCAACCCCAATGTTCCCCCAACAGGATCCCCAATACTTCCTCTTTTAATGGCAGGGATCATATTTTCCAAGTAGCAGCTACTCATTTAAAACGAATGTTCAGTAAGTGTTGACTTGAATTAATGTGTTCATTACTAGAAATTCTTTATATAATATTATGTGCAAAATTTGGCTGGTATTTGAAAAATGCAAATGCATTTGTCATTTGAGATTACCTAAAGTATCTGACTCTTCATAAGGGGCCAGTTGTAACATTTTGGGAGAGTATACTTTTAAAAGTATTTTTAAAAGAGACTCCTGTTGAGGACCTATGAAGCTCCTAAGATTTCCCTATTATGATAGCCCAGTTCTTTGATACTGGCATATGATTATTAAAAAGGTCCTTACAGTAGGCAAAGTGGTGATTCATTTTGATGGGGTCATCACATTTTTAGTTACACTTTTTCTACAATAATAAAAAAAAAATTAGTTACACTTTTTTTTACAATGCAATAATGATTTCTTTTTCTTTTTTTTTCTTTTATGGTGAACCAAGGGCCTTGTGCATGCAAGGTAAGCACTCAACCAACTGAGCTATATCCCCAGCTCTGAAAATGCAATAATGAAAAGTGCTTATAGAGTTGTCTTATATGAGCATATCCCCCAAATTTCTAGTGAAATAATATTTTATCACAAGCTGATGGGTCATCGGTTTGAGCAGGAAAATTTTCAACTTTTGTTTTGAGATGAGATCTCACTAAATTTCTGAAATTTTTGGCTTTGAACTTTGAATACTCTTACTTCAGCTTCCCAACTAGCTGGGATTATAGGCTGGTGGGCATTGTAGATTTTTAGCTTTAATGACCTCACAGTATAGGCATTGTAATTAGGATAATTAATTAAAGGAGCTCTATGAACAATTAATAACCAACATTTGCATAGCACTCAAAGGTTTAGAAAATGCACCATTTTGTAAGTTTAAAAATAAATTCCTGGATATAATTTTTTTTGGTTTGGAAGATAGCACTAACTTTAGGATCATGGTTATTTATTTTTTTTCCAACTTACTCAACTCTTCTTATAGGTCCTATTCCCTCATCCTTCCAATTTTTGTATCCAACATTGGAACATTACCTCAATGGGATAATGCCTTTTGAATTTGCTTATTTTAATTTTTAAACTCTAAACTACACTGCTTATTATGGGGATATTACAGATCCTGGGATTTCTAGGACAGAACTGATTGTAAATGCTTTGTCACATTGTCAAATCATGGAACCTGATCTCTGGTTAAGAAAATGTGGTCACCTTATCTACTTGATGAAGGTTAATATGAATTTTGTTACATATATTCTAAATATCTGATTTTATATATTATATCCTATTATATATACACATATTCTGAAATAAGACTTTTTAATGTGACCTTATTGGCAAAACAATACCCCCCATTTGTTTTCCTTAACCTTTCTTCAGTTCTATTTATTGTCCTTTCTTCTTTAAATATCTAGGGTTCAATCAAGACCTAGATATTTAGATCTCTTCCAATGGATTTTTCTTTTCTGTCTCCTTCAATGAATTCTCTTCTGCCTCTCACCAGCCTCATTTTTCAAAATCTTAAAACTATTTACTTTCTTTAAAAAGACAGGGTCTTGCTATTTTGCCCATGCTGGAAAAATAGCCTGGGCTCAAGTGATCCTCCTCCCTTGGTCTCCTGATGTACTACCTAGCCATGCTTGAACTACTTTCTTATGGGTTGCTTGAGCTGCACAGATTTTTCAAAAGCTCAGGAATATTCTGTTTGCATAGCCACCTCCCATCTTTACTTCTAGGACATCTTCAGACAGAATTACTGCCTTCCTTCAAGCTTTAGTGCAATTCACACCTTCTCCCTATAGTTTGCCCTGCCTGTAGTAATTTATTTTCCTATAAAATCTCAAGCATTTGACTTTCACTACCTCATACTGTTTATTAGTTTCATGTATTCATGTCTCACATCCTAGTTAGAATGCAGTCCTTGAGGATGAGGGCTGTATGTACTTCATCCTTTTTTTTTATTTGTTTAGTAGGATACAATGAACAAATATTACTCAACAAGTATTTGTTGATTAAAGAAAGCCCAAGTTCCATGATTCCAATACTACACAGTCAACATCTTATTTAGATATACATTGTAAATTTTTTTTCTTTTCTCCTTTTTGGCCTCTGCTTCTGAGTTTGACAATTCCTGTTTAGTATTACCGTAGGTAACTATTTTAGAAACAATAAAAAAAATTAAAAGATGGTAAAAACAGGCATGTAAGAGATAGTGGAAACTGATATTTATAGTGTCGCTATTCTGTGCTTGACACCATAGTCCGCATTTTAAAGATTTCTTTCAACAAACCTAAAAACTGAAGTCCAGCCATGTTAATTTATCCAAAGCTCCCCCCAAAATAAATGCCTGTGCTAAGTTTCAGAAACCAAGGTCTGCCTGATTTCAAAGGCAAGGCGGTTTTAGTATTGGAAGACTGCGAGAATTAAATGGCATAATTTACTGAAAAAGCAGTAGGCACAATAGTTGGCGTTCAACAGATGTTTCTTCCACAATTTGCCTACGAATTGTGTCTACTTAAGCAGGAGAGGAGGAAAAAACAAAACGAAAAAACCTGGATGAATTAATTATACTTGTTTATAACTTTAAGAAAGCCCACATTTAATTATAATAATCCCATGCCCTCCTTCATATTGACTCTAGAAAAAAATGCCTGGCAATATTTCAAATCATGATGCCTATTTTTCTTCCATGGTTGCGTAACAATTTATACTTTCAAAAGAGAATAGAAAGTTATTTTCGGCTGTCAAGAGACTAAAAGAATGTAATAAAATTATTTCTGTGACACAGATTTATGTGCTTAGTTTTTCATTTTTCTTTCTTCCCCGACGAAGAGCATATTACTCTGTTCTATAGGGACTTTGCAAGGTAAACTGCGGGGTTTCAACAGCTGCTGGGGTAACCCTCAACACCGAAATCAAGCGCGTCCTCAGTTCTTGTCGTTGACTCCCATAAGCTGCTCCTCTGCAGAAAGTTAACACCGCGTCGCCACCGCGGAAAGTGGGGCAACCCAAGCTTATTTTGCCTATCAGCAAAAACCTTTTGTATCCATTTCAGGCCACAGAACAGACAAAACACCCTACCCAGATGTTCTGAAGCTCCGCGGGGAGGAAGAAGCGTAGCTTCTTTATACTGCTCTCTCATCCGCTCGCGGCACCTGGACGTGGGCGGCGCGCGACCCAGGGCCGTGACGTCCCCGCACCTGGCAACAGCCCTAGCTCCGGTGCTGGGTAAAAACTCCAGCACGTCGGGGGCGGGGCCAAGAGAACGAGGACGTTCTCGCGAGATTTCCCTCATCGCGGCCCATCTCCCCGCACCTTCCCGGCTTCTGTCCGGCTCTTTACCTCAGTCTTTGGCGTCGCCTTGTAGGACGCCAGGCCCTGAGGGAGCAGCTAGGGGCGGGTTCTGAGGCTGGGCGGGCGCTCGGGGTTGGAGCTGGCGGCCTGAGCGAACCAGCGGGTCCCAACTCCTGCGGAAGCGACAAGGGTGGGAGAGTCGCCGTCTGGGCGCGCGGGGGAAGGGCCCTCCCGCCGCCGTGGCTTCGGCGGAGGCCAGGCGTGAGGAGTTGCCATCGTCGCTGCCTCACGGGCCGCGCTGAAGAGACTGGCCGGATAGTGTCGTGGGCGGATGGAGGCGCCTGCTCGCCCCACCTGAGCTCAGGAGGGGCCAGAGCCGAGCGCGGGGCCCGCCTCCTGTCTCAGGAGCGCTCGCGCGAGCCAGCGGAGGAGGAGAGCGGGTGCCGGGCTTCTTCCCGCAGGAGTCCCCAGCATGGGTAAGGTTGGGCGCTTCCCGCCGCCCGTCCAGGCCCTCTCGAGCCGGGTAGGCGGTTCCCTGGTCAGCCTCAGTGGGGACGCGACGGGGCTCAGCCCCCGCGCTGCAGCAACCTGCACCACCCTCGCTGGCGCCCCTCCTAGACCTGCCTCCCACCTTGTTCTTCTCGCGGTGCTCTCGGGCGCTGTCCTCTCCGCCCCTTCTCCTGTTCACCTCGAGGTGTGGGAAGGAGGGCTGGGACGCCCGACCACCTCGGCGCCCACTGCCCTGCGCCGCCCTCTTCGGATGGGGGAGGGTGATCGGAAAACTTGACAAAGTGGCACTTTGTCTTCTCTGAGGCTTTGTATAGATTGGACTTTTAGGGACATATAAGTACACATTTTGTCAAAGTTTTTTTTTTTTTTTTCCCTTGCTGAAACTTGCAGCAAGAGATGACTCGAGAAAAGGAAATCTATAATATGTATTTTAGTCTGGATCTACCTAGGCAAATATGCTGGTACTTAAACATTAAATCTCCTCCCCAACTGGGTTGGGGTTTGGTAGGATTCAGTATTGAACCCGGTGAGGAGTAGTTTCCTGTTTGGAGTTAGACTTCCTTGCTAGAGGAGAGAAAAGCACAAAGCCTTATACGTTGTTGCTGTGTGTTTTAAAAGTTTTATTTGGAATTAGGGAATGTATTGCAGTTTGGTTTGGAAAGTTTTGTCAAGTGGTGTAACGATTCTTTTGATTAAAAAGTTCAGTATAGGCTAGGCACTAATTCCTAATTCTTAAAAATTTAAAAGCATTTTTTAAAAGAATATTTTAAAAAATCAAATTTGGGCCACCATAAGGGAGAGAACGTTCTGTGAGAGTAAATCCAAGTTTAGTGGAGTAAATCAGGAGGACTCTGTCACTGCTTCCAGTTGAAAGTTGGTGTCGCTTCATATCAACAAACCATTACCGAAATGAATAATTCATGAAACTAACAAATGATTTAGTAGCAGGACAAATAGAGTACTGCTGATGTGGCACCCTCTGCCCACCCTTTGCTTTGTGCATGATGCTTTGAACAGTGTGTATAGGCACTTGCCTAGCTATTCTGTTTTCTTAGATTTTCTATTTTTATGTTCCCCTCACTTACCACCTGTTCTCAGCTACCTTTTATAAACAAAGTGCTCTTGAACTCAGAAACAGTAAAATAAAATATTTGCTATTTGGATCCTTCGAATGAATTCCTTTTTAATTGATTAGTTGAGCTTACAGGGTAATTGTGGGCTTATTCCTTTAAGCATCAAATTTTAAAATCACTAACTGCTTTGGATGAAAATTATACTAAAATTAAATGTACAACTCGATCTAAAATAGGATGTAGAATATAATTACATTTATTTTAATTATATAATTTGTTACTTTTTCAGTTGCTGGTGTGCCTTGAGAATCTGTTGGATCATATATAGGACTTGATCCAAATGCTAAATAACATACTTCTTTGCATTTTTTTCCACATTTTTTATTGGTGTATTATGGTTGATAGTATTTGTTAACATTACTCCTTTCCATTTTGAAATTATTTAAATAGGTGCTTTCCCCCCTACTTTGCTTTTCTATGATTGTAACTGTAATTAGTGTCCCCCTTCATTCTCCGTTTTCTTTTTTTTTTGACTGTGTGAAAATCATGTGCAAATTTGTGATTATACATGGGGGAAAATCAGTAGACCCTTACTGAACAGTGTGAGGTCCTCTGGTGGGAAAAGTGAATGAATACCAATACTTGGACATTATAATATCTGTTTGGCCAGAGGTCTTTTCTTAGTGAGTTGTTACATTCTGGATAAGTGAAGTTTGGTAAAGTTCCACGTTAGCATACTGTCAACTTGACTACTCAATTATGAACTTCTCTTATTTGGGGTATTTGTTGTTAAAATGAGAAATATTTGTGAAACATTTTCATATGAATGTATACTTTAAATTTATTAGTCATGTAACCATGTTAAAATCCTCAAGTTTATTTGAAGGAGTTTCCTCTTTAAGGTTCATTTGCTTGGTTTTTTCATCAGCGATCTTTTAAGATGTAGCCTAAAATATTTACATGGGATTTTATATAATTTGTCAAAAATGAAAGAAAAATTGAAAATTTTTTTGAGAGATTAATGTGGATACCTACTGAGTGATGGTTTCTGCACTTTAGTGATACAGTTAAGAGAGTTAAGAGCAGGGGCCCTGGATAGGAATTTATTTCCTGAGGTCTCACCTATCTGTGTGACTGAGCAAATTACTTAACCTCTCTGTGCTTCAGTTTCTTGATCTAAAAATGGGATTCAAGTATGACTCTCATAGATGTTAGAATGCCTGAGTGAGTGAATACTTATAAAGTGCTTAGGAAGTTACCAGTGCTGCTGGATGTTTTAATTTTTAAATGATTTCCTTGATTCTTGTTGGGACCTTAAACAGAATACTGTCTTTCAAGGGCCAGTGAGAGGACATGAGTCTATACTAATGCAGAAATCAACAGAATTTTATGTAGTGTAATCTTACAGAAATTATGTAGAAAGATACTGTTTTTTTTCAGTATTGGTTATACTCTGAGAAGCTCCATTATTAAAAATAAGCTTATTTAGAAAAAACTTTTAAGTGGAATGACTTATTACTAGAGACATTTGAATTTTCTGTTAACCTGTTTTTATTTTTTATGTTTGTTAAATGTGGAAAATGTCTTTCAAGAAATATGAGGCTCTCAAGTGAAATAATTAGGGAACATCTTTGGGAGATACAAAGCAATACTTTTAAAAAAATTTGTTCCAAAAATACATTTGTGCATTTTGAAGTGAAATATAAAAGTAAATGGCACAGTGTTGCTAAATTTGAATTTTTATTTTTGAAAGAGTAAGCATATTTTAAGGGCTGAATTTTTCTTAATTTCAGATACGGTTATGAGCTTTTGAGTTTAAATTTATTCTAAAAACTTACATATAAAGCATGTCAGTCATGAAGTTTAAATGGAAACTTGCAGTGTGTTTAGATGATATATACCACACACACACACACACACACACGCGCGCGCGCACACACACACACACACACACTTCTATAATAGAATTTCTTTATTTTACATTTACATTGTACTATTTGGAGAAAAACTTGATCCATACAGATACATTAGCTTACATACAATAGGGGATACTTGCTAATTCAGCCTCAGGATTGACTTCAGTTACACAATCTAGAGCATAAAAAAGTAATAGGAAATTTTTCCCCCTCCCTGCCAATTTTTATACCTAATCCAAATCTGTGAAAACCCCTTTCTCTTTAATGGAATATCTTTCCCTGTTGTTAAATGTGTTTTGAGTATGGTAAAAATGTTTCATTTTCTGATGTATATAAAGAAGTGGTATCATTGTGTCAAGGGCATAAAGATAGGCAGAGAAAGAGGTGTAATGATTCTTGATTTCACTGAGTATAGGGCAGACCTCTTTTCCTGGTAAATGGATGAATAAGTTGTAGACCTCTTTTCTTGGTAAATGGATGAATAAGTTGTCAAAGATCTGAACATTTTCAGAATTTATATTCAGAAAAGAAAGGGTGGAACTGTGACTTACTTGATTGTAGGAATTGATATCTACTATACAGATTTAACACCAACAGGATTTAGGTGCTAAATAATAGTAGCAGCCAGGCAGTAAGTCTTTCTAGATGAGTTCCCAACACTAATTTGGGAAATCTGGATTGAAGTTCAGTTATAGTTATCGTCAGCATGTCAACATCAGGGATATGTGTAGCAAAATTTAGTGTGTAGACTGGTGGAGCCGGTCAGCTGGGTGTGGGAGTGAGATGCTGGTTGGTAGTAAGCCACCAGGTAGAGGTTCAGGATGGCATTGTGAAGGGAGAAGGGAGGAGACAGGGTCTGGAAATAGGCCTTGGAGACCTAGCTACAGGGAAATGAAACCAGACAGGGTCTAGATTTTTTTTTTTAAATATTTATTTTTTAGTTGTAGTTGTACACAATTCCTTTAGTTTACTTATTTATTTATATGTGGTGCTAAGGATTGAACCCAGGGCCTCACACATGATAGGCGAACACTGTATGCTGAGCCACAACTCCAGGACCCCCCCCCCCCATCTAGTTTTTTTTTTTTTAATCTTTTAAAATTTATTTTTATTTAAGAGAGAGAGAGAGAGAGAGAGAGAGAGAGAATTTTTCAATATTTATTCCTTAGTTATTGGCAGACCACAACATCTTTGTTTGTATGTGGTGCTGAGGATCTAATGAACCCAGGCGGCATGCATGCCAGGCAAGCACGCTACCGCTTGAGCCACATCCCCAGCCCCTAGTTTTTTTTTTTGTTGTTGTTGTTGTTGTTGTTTTTTTTTAATGAGAAAAATACAAAATAGGTATTTGTTCTCCGGAATAAAAACGAGTTTGGTTATTGGAACTGTTTAGGATAGTAATACTGGTAAGATGTTGAGCTGCTCAGCTGTGGACCTGCTACTATGTTACCTATCTTGAGACTATATCAGTAGTCAACATTAGCAGCTGAATCTATAACTGAGATATAATTGGTTCCAAATAAATTTCGGATTTATGGCATCCTCTGTGTATCTAAAGGTTTGGGAATATTCATAGTCTGTAGCATCCCCTCTGTTTATTTGGTCCCAGGGATTTGATATGCCTGCTTTTTTCTTTGTTGCTTTTTTCCACCTGGATTTTTTTCCTTTCAGATTGAAAGGAGAGCAGATCACAGAGTTGCAGCATGCTTTTATGTTTTAGAAACAAGTATGTAATTCTCAAGGATGTTAAATAGTTACAACTACAAACATAAGAATAAATGGACAACTAAGGCATGAGAAACTTTAAAGTACTTTTAATTCGTGGTCTCTTGATTTCACTGAAGTGGTGTTAGGCTAGTTATTAGAAAGACCTTCATTGTTTTCCTTTTGGATTGATTATTCCTTTCTAGTACTTCCTCATACTCCCCCTCAGCCTTCTTTTGGGTTTGTTTTAGATATTTAGACTATTTTACAGAC